TTACATGACATGACAAAAGATACTTTGCAGATATGATTAAGTTAAGGATCTTAGAATGGGTACTTATTCTGGATTCTTCAGGTGGGCCCAATGTCATCACCAGGATCCTTATAAGAAGGAGGCAGAAGGATCAAGGTCAGAGAATGAGATGTGATGATGGAAACAGGCTGGAGTGATGTGCTTTGAAGATGGAGGAAGGAGCCATGAGCCAAAGAATGCAGGCAGCTTCTAGAAGCTGGAAAAGGCAGGGAACATATTTTCCCCTAGAGCCTCCAGATGGAACTAGCCCTACTGACACATTGATTTCGGACTTCTGCCCTCCAGATCTATGAGATAATAAATCAATATTGTTTTAAGCCACCACACTTATGGTTGTTTTTTACAGTAGCAGTCAGAAACTCACACTGTTTAGGAGCACAGACTCTGGAGTTCAGCTGCCTGGGTTCAAATCCCAGCTCTCACCAGCTAGAAGATGTCGGGAAAGTGGCCAAAGCCCTCAGTTTCTTCATTTGTAAAGTGGGGATGGAAATAGCACCTATGGCATGTGAATAAACCAGATACATGAAATAGACAAGATGCTGCCAGCTGAACTTCATGGAGACATTTGCTGTCAATTGCACGTATTCATGAATTATACATCATAACTTTGTAGAAGGAATACAAAGGTGTATTTTAGGGAAAAATTCCCAGTTAATGTGACGTAGATGAACTGGACGAGGTGAGTCTACAGCAAGGAAGCCAGGGAGCACAGGGGTGGAGAGAAGGGATGGGCTAAGAGAGACAGTCTAGGGGCTGGTGAGGGCTGGACACAGAGGATGAGGGAGAGGAAGGAAGGGAAGACTCTGACTGGGAGGCCTGTTGGGGCTCTCAAAGAAATCAGGCAAGAGGGAGGAGCAGCAGGTGTTAGCAAAAATAAGTATACAGTTCAAGCAGGTCCAGCGCTTGCTACGTGCGGGGTGCAGGCTGAGCGTTCTGCTTGCCTGATGCCACCTGCTTGTCACCCCAAGACTTGGAGGGAGGCACATGACTGTGATGTCCAGTGTACAGATCAGGAACAAGCTGGAGAAGTCAAAGGTAGAATCAAAACCTGCCCCCTATGTCCTCCCAGGATGGGGGTCCCTGGAGCCCAGGCCTCTGCTGAGCGTGCATGAAAGCATGGGGGAAAGGAGCCATAGGGCAGATGGATTGATTCAACCAGGTCAAGGTTACCTACGAGTTAATGAGTAATGAATGGGG